TCTGTATTTTTAGTGTTTTGATTATTATGTGGCAAGAGGCCTTTTTTTATTATCCAGTCTATTTGGTGTTCTGTAAGCTTCTTGTAAATTCATAGGCATATCTTTGTTTAGGTTGGGAAAGTTTTCTTCTATGATTTTGTTAAACATATTTTCTGCGATTTTGAGTTGGATTTCTTCTCCTTCTTCTATCCCTGTTGTTCTTAGGTTTGGTCTTTTCATGGTGTTCCATATTTCCTGGATATTTTTGGTTAAGCTTTTGTTAGATTTAATGTTTTCTTTGACCAATGAGTTTATTTCCTCTATTGTATCTTCAGTGCTTGAGATTCTCTCTTGTCTCTTTTATTCTGCTGTTTCTGCTTGTATTTGTGGTTCCTGATCATTTTCTTATGATTTCTGTTTCTATGAGTCCCTCGGCTTGTGTTTTCTTTATTGTCTCTACTTTAGTTTTCAAGTCTTAAATAGTTTTTCTCCTGTTTGATTGCTTTTTCTTGATTTTTTAAAAAGGGATTTGCTGATGTCTTCCTTTTTTTTTTTTTGTTTGTCTTTTCCTCCATTTCTTTGAGGACATTTTTCATTTCCTCTTTGAGGGCCTCAAACATTCTCTTAAAGTTATTTTTTAGATTATTTTCTTCTGCTTCATCTATATTTGGTTGTTCAAGCCTTGCTCTTGTAGAATCACTAGTTTTTACTGGTGTTGTGCTGCTCTTTGTGGTGTTGCGTGTGTTCTTACCTTGTTTACCCATCTTTTCCTCTGTATGTTGTAGTTGGGGCTGTCTGTGACTCTGGTGATCAATCTTCCAGGTGCCCGTGGATCCAAGGCTCAGATGGTTGCTCCTCATGGTGCAGTCACGGCCATGGTTCCAATCATGCCGTTGGTCACTCAGTGTTCCTAGAGGTTGTTAGGCGCTCCCGGGGTTCCCTCTGCAATACCAGTCGTCAGTCGGGCCTGCTTTCACAGGGATTGCTTGCTTGGGACTCTTTCTGCAAGGTTGCTGCCTTGGGCCTGCTCTGGCAGAGGTCCTGGCTCAGGCCCACTCTCTCAGAGGTCCCAGACTCACGCCTTGACCCACAGAGGTCTCTGGTTTCAGCCTACTCCCTAAGCGGTTGCTCCCTTGTACCTGCTTCTGTGGAGTTCGCTGTATCAAGCTTCTGGGTTTTTTGTTTGTTTGTTTGTTTTTTAAAAAACAGGATTTCTCTGTGTAGCCCTAGCTGTCCTGGGATTCATTCTGTAGACCAGGCTGGCCTCAAACTCACAGAGATCTGCCTCCCTCTGCCTCCCAAGTGCTGGGATTAAAGGTGTGACCACCTTATCATGGCACTTTTTAAAACTTCTTTTCTGAGAACCTGGGACAGCAGCTCTCTAAATGTTAAAGGCTGTGTGAATGATTGAAAGGAAAGAAGATACTGGACTCAGTACAAAGGGCTGGGGTTCGTCTGCCCCTTTGAAGAGGAAGTGGCCCAGTGAAGCCTCGGGAATCAGATGGGGTAGCAGCGTCTTGGAGGATGTGGGGAGTCTTCTGGAACAGTAGACAGGAAGAGGTCTGGGGCACAGTGTGTCCTGGAACACAGGGAGGGCAGGTAGTGTTGGTGGGAGAAGGGAGAAAGGGAACCATGTGGGAGGAGGCTGGAGGAGTGGCCAGGGCCAGCGCAAGGAAGGCTTCATGGCTGGCAGGGAACACTCTGGGTTTGGTTTTGAGGTGATGAGGAGCCATGACTTGCCTTTGACTGAGACAATGGCAGGATTTGTTCTGAGGCAAGCTTCAAAAGGAGCCCTGAGGCTGCTCAGAGGAGCATGGAGCCGAGAGCCCAGGGGGCTCCAAGGAGGAGGAGAAGAGGTGAAAGGACCCGCTGTCCTGAGGAGGAAAGGGCACTGAGACAGGGAAGTGGCCGCAGAGATGGGGTGTGCTGCACTGGAGACGCGGTTTGGAGGCAAAACCTTATCTGTGGCCACAGCCCAGCGTAGGTTCCCAAATTCCTCTTTCTGAGGTTTCTGATTCATAATCCTTTCCACCCATCTTCAGTCCTCGGCCACTCACGTATTGGCTACTCATGGGTGGAGACAGCCGAAGGCCCCTCCATGGATGGGCAGACAAGCAACAAAGAGACGTTACTCAGTCACGAAAAGGATGGAGATGCCATCAGCTGCTCTGGAGCCCCGGAGAGTGAAATGCACTGAGAGAAACGAATGCCATGGGCCCTGCAAATCCACATGCGGAATCCACACAGGGGAAATTGAGGTTTGCTAGGGCTGAGGAATGGGGACTAAGTCTCCTTTATCTGGTGGTGCTGGGAACTGAACCTGGGGCCTCAGGCATGTTAGACTGACTGGGGCAGACTGACCGATGATGGACAGGGGACCGATTGACCACCGACTGATGACTGACTTCAGAATGCTGACAACTGGTCGCTATACTGACTGACAGCTGGCTGGGTGGGGACTGACGACTGAGTGACTGAGACTGAGGACTTCTGATGACAGACTTGACTGGACTGACTGAGGACCTGCTGACCACTGAGAACTAATTGATGATTGATCAACTTCTGACTAGTGATTGATTAATCCAGGACTTCCCTTCTTCCCTTCCTCCCTCAGTGAGGCTGGGACTTCCCTCCCACCTGGAGATCTCAACAGGGCCTCATGCCAGTGCTCTCCACCTCAGGCCCCTAGAGGTTTTCCGGGCCTCTCTCATACTGAGGTCTGTTGGCATCAGTCTCGGTCTGTGGTGAGGTAGGCTGGCCTTTATTTTTCTTTCTTTTTTTTTTTTTTTTTTTCGAGACAGGGTTTCTCCGTGGTTTTTTGGAGCCTGTCCTGGAACTAGCTCTTATAGACCAGGCTGGTCTCGAACTCACAGAGATCCGCCTGCCTCTGCCTCCCAAGTGCTGGGATTAAAGGCGTGCGCCACCACCACCCGGCTTGGCCTTTATTTTTCAACATGGATCCCTGCTGGCTCCATGTCAGTTTGGTGACAGCTTCTCTAGATGGCCAGACTCTCCCGTTTTGTCCATTTCTCAGGCCCATTTCAACCCCTTTCCTATTTATTTATTTATTTAGTAAACAATATTCT